CAAACAGACATTCCCAGCACAAATCCATTATCTATAGCACATTGAGGACTGTCTGAATCAACAACAGCAACATAAAAACACCATAGAAAAAAACAAAAAACAAAACTAGAACTGTATAATACAAAATAAATGTCAACTAAAATAAAAGAAACTATTTAACACAAAATGCATTTGAATGCAAATCAAACATTATATAAAATACACTTCATCACAAATCCATCATATAAAATAAAAAACAACCAGTATACAGAGTGCACTTTAAGCACGAATAATAATATAAAATAATCAATACGCAAAATACATTTCAACACAAATCATTATATAAAATGAAACAAACACACATGCAGAATCAAACCACAACATAAAAAAAAACAAACAAAAAATATAAAAAATACAAAAAAAATACAAATCACAACAATACAAAAACAAACAAAAAAAACCCAAAAAAAAAAAAAAAAAAAAAAAAAAAAAAAACAAAACACCAAAAACTGCTATCCTTCCCTATTCTTAGGTACTACATGGAAAAAAACAGACAACTTGGACCTCTACATAGCTACTGTAAAATAGTGGAAAATGGAAGGAAATCGTGGACAAAAAAGAAAAACGGCACAATGTTTTTCCAATTGCCTGTAGCCCAATAAAAAAAAAAACAACAAAAAATAAAAAAAAAAAATTGCTGAGACACTGATTCATATATCTGTGTTTCCCAATGGACGACATTTGATGTACACTTTAAATCTTCCAATAACGTATATGATAAAAAATCACTGCAAAAAAATTTATTTCTATCAAAAAAACTCAAATATGCAGATGACAATCAGAAAAGCCTCTGATAAAAAAAAAAAAAGGCAGGCTTATCACACAACTGTGTTCTGCATGTCATTGGAGGGAAAAACAGACATGCAAAAAAAAATGAGTCACCCACCAAGAACTTCATATGAACCTCTGCACATACATGACCACCAGAAACATGGAAGTGCCTCCTATTTATTAGAGCAGATCCCTATAGGCACACTCCCGGAAAGTTCTTTTGGACCAATGTTGGGTATGTAGTGTCACTCCAGCTTTTCCAAGGAAAAAATAAAAAACCCCCAAAAAAACCTTTACAGGGCCATCAACACAAATCAATCGTTACACCGTGTGCCATGTTCCCAAAGGGTATGTGATACAATCCCGCAAAAAAAGGCCTAAAAAAAATCAACGTTGGTCCTCGGGAATGTGAATCCATTCTGTATTCCTCCAATGGATCCTCCTGCCACCTTGTTCAGAAGACTGAAGCTGCTCTTCTACTATACAATCTCATTGTACAACAATCTGCTTTAAGGCCTACAAACCCAACGTTACAATCTTCTTTAAAAAAAAAAACAACTATGTAAAAAAGTGCCTGCCTGATTGGAAACAAACAGATTGGGTAAAATAAAAAAAAAAAAAAACTATATAAAAAAAAATCTATAGTCGATTATAAAAAAGATTGTACGGCGACCCTAAAAACTCAGCATACATGTTACAATCTGACCAAAACAATCCACTTATAAGGGGATCTACCTAAACTATCTGATCAATCTGTATCAAATCAGGCAGGCCCTTGCACTACATAAAAAAAAAAGATCTAGATGAGATTGTACAATCAGATTGCATAGTGTATGATCAGTGTGCTGTACCCCTTCCTATTTTTGTTTGGCAACATGTTGGCACTAAGGGTGCACATGCCATCACCTACATCAAGAATGGATACATTGCAATCCAAAGAAATCCCAGCCAGCTGTGTGCCGTTTGAAAAAAAAAACCATGGTATAACGTGCCGTGATTCACCTACGCCCGGTGTAAAAATCTGACCATCCATGGACAAGGGTGACCTGTAGACTCCAGACACAAACCCTCCTGAGATGTCACCAATGATCTGCAAAAAAAAAGACCACCACCATGCCGTATCTTCCAGCACCAAACACAGAGCGGGGGGGCACACCGCCGTCACATGACCGCCACCCATGGGCACACCTGTACAGGACCCCACATAGGTCCTAGGATCAGCCAATCATTGACAGCACATACCCATTCTGCAATGTCACAGATGCCAGGCTTTGTCCCACATGGTGCCCATGTCACAGCCAAAAAAAAAAAGGGGACATTGTACAAAAAAACAAAAAAACACACATGGCAAAAGCCATCCAGCCTGCACACATGAAGGGCCCCTGTCCTATGGGGCCCCATCTATACAGGTGCTACTCACTCTGGCTCCTGCTCGCTGCTCATTGTCCCCCCTCACCGGGCACCGAGCTGGCTGTGCAGGGCTGGAGCGCTGGGAGTGTCCCGGGAAAGCGCATGGTGACCACAGGTAAGATCCGGGGGAGATCGGCCGATACAAGGAGCCCTTCACAGGCCAACACAAAAAAAATCTCACAGCACAGCCGGGGCCGATCCTGCACCAAAAAATCCGTGTGAGAGCACAGCCACAAATCGAGCCTCCTCCTCCCATCCAGAGACCGAGAGCCTCCTCCTCCTCCCATCCACAGACACGGCCTCCTCCTCCTCCATCCCCTCCTTCTATGGACGGGGAGAGAGAAGGAAGACTGCCTGCTGCACATGGACACACAAAAAAAAACCACAGGCTGCCTGCACTGGAAAAAATACACACATCTGGAAAGAAAAAAAGCAAAAAAAAAAAAAAAAAGTGCACCAACACAATACAAAAAAAGCAAAAATACACCAACACAATACAATCTGTCTATAACAACAACAAAAATACACCAACACAATACAAACATCTGTCTAGAACAACAAAAAAAAAAAAAAACCAAACAATACAAAAAAAAAAAAAAAAAAAAAAAAACTAAAAAAAAAACAAAAATACACCAACACAATACACACATCTGTCTAGAACAAAAACAACAAAAAAAAAAAAAAAAACAAAAAAAAAAAAAAAAAAAAAAAAAAAAACAAAACTAAAACAAAACAAAAAAAAAAAAAACAAACAACAAAAAAAAAACAAAACAAAAAAAAAAAAAAAAAAACAAAAAAAAAAAAAAAAAAAAAAACAACAAAACAAAAAAACAAAAAAAAAAAAACAAAAAAACAACAAAAAAAAACCAAAAAAAAAAAAAAAAAAAAAAAAAAACAACAAAAAAAAATAAAAAAAAACAAAACACACAAAAAAAAAAAAAAAAACACAACAAAAAAAAAAAAAAAAAAAAACAAAAAAAAACAAAAAAAACAACAAAACAAAACAAAAAAAAAAAATAACCAAAAAAAAAACAACAAAAACCAACACAAAAAAAAAAAAAAAACAACAAAAAAAAAAAAAAAAAAACAAAAAAAAAAAAAAAAACAAAAAAACAAAAACAAAACAATCTCTAAAACAACAAAAAAAAAAACCAAACAAAACAAAAAAAAAAAAAAAAAAAAAAAAAACAAACAAAAACACAAAAAAAAAAAAAAAAAAAAAAAAAAAACAACAAAAAAAAAAAACAACGGACAAAAAACACAAAAAAAAAAAAAAACAAAAAAAAAACACAAAACACAAACAAAAAAAAAAAAAAAAAAAAAAAAAAAAAAAAAAAACACAAAAAAAAAAAAAAAAACAAAACAAAAAACACACAAAAAAAAAACAAACAACCACCTAAAAAAAAAAACAAAAAACAAAAACAAAACAAACACACACACACAAAAAACAAAAAAAATAAAAATAACAAAAAACAACAAACACCAACAAAACCACAATATACACAAACTATAAAAAAAAAATAACAACAACAACAGTACACCAACACAAAACACACACAACTGTCCCAAAAAAAAAAACAACAAAACAACAACAACAAAACCAACACACTACACACATCTGTCCCATAGTAATAATAACAACAACAAAACAGTACAAAAAACACACTACAAACATCTGTCTAAAAAAGTAATAATAACAACAACAACAACAAAAAACAACAAAAAAAAAACACAATATACACATCTGTCTATATTATTATAATTATTAATAATAATAATAGCGCATCAACACAATGTACACATCTGTAAATAATAATAATTATAATAATAGTGCATCAATACAATATACACATCTATAAATAATAATAATAATAGTGCTTCAACACAATATACACATCTGTAAAGAATAATACTTTTTTAAATTATTATTATTATTAATAATAATAATAATAATATTAATAATACATCAGTACAGAACAGTATATGCATTTATAAATAATAATAGTGCCTCAACTTAATATACACATCTGTAGTAAAGAATAATAATTTAATAATATTAATAATAGTGCATCGACACAATGTACACATATGTAAATAAGACTACTTTATTATTACTATTATTATTATTAATAATATTAATAATAATTATAATAATAATAATAATAATAGTACACTAACACAATATGTACATCTGTAAATATGAATACTGTATTCATAATGATAATGCATTGACAAACTATAGCCATCTGCCAATAATATTAATAATACTTTATTAATAACAATAGTGCATCAACAGAGATTGGTGTTTCAGATTCTATATGCACAGCTTGCAATACATTATACAGTTTTTTTATTCAATTTCCTTTAGATTTACCTTCAACTATGTAGTGCAAGGGCCTGCCACATTACATACAAATTGAGGCTCCATGTACACTAGTGTTTTTTAAGCTCCTAGAAACTGTAATCAGAACTTTTTCTGCTCCTAGAAGTTAAATAGTGTTATCCTATGTGTCCATGCACACTAATTTAGGCTAGTAGCATTTTTCAGGCTTCAGATTTTTTTTTGTAGAGCACTTTTAACAGCTTTTTTCTAGTTTTTTATTTCTACATGTACTGTAAAAATGCTAATAAAATGCTAATGCTACTAAACGCTTCTAAACGTTACTTAACCACCTCCCGCCCGCCATATAGTAATATGACGGGCGCAAGGTGGTTCTCTCAATCTGGGAGGACGTCATATGACATCCTCCCATTCTCACTGCGCAGCACGGTGATCGGCGGTGCACTGTGTCCCTCGGACACAGCGGATCACCAATCACAGAAAGAGCTGAGGATGTCGGCTCGGTCATGTGATCAACTGTGTCCAATCACAGCTAATCACATGTAAACAGGGAAATTCGGGTTATCGGCATTTCTCTCTCCTCTCGAGCTGTCACGCTGACAGCTCGAGAGGAGAGAGCCGGTAATCGGCTTTCCACGGAGGGGACATTTACACTGATCATCAGGGCACTGATGATCAGTGTGCCCTGATGATCAGTGTAGCCCCAGCAGTGCCACCTGTCAGTGTCCATCAGTGCCTTATGTCAGTGCTCATCAGTGCCTCATGCCAGTGCCCATCAGTGCCACATCAATGCCACATATCAGTGCACATCAATGCCACATATCAGTGCCTACCAGTGCACATCAATGCCACATATCAGTGCCTACCAGTGCACATCAATGCCACATATCAGTGCCCATCTGAGCTGCCTTTCAGTGTCACCCATCAGTGCCAGTCAGTGCCACCTATCAATGCCAATCAGTGCCACCTATCAGTGCTGCCAATCAGTGCCAGTCAGTGCTGCCTATCAGTGCCAGTCAGTGCCGCCTAACAGTGCCAGTCAGTGCCGCCTATCAGTGCCGCCTATCAGTGCCATGTATCAGTGCTGCTGTTCAGTGCCCATCAGTGATGCCTGTCAATGCCCATCAGTGCCACCTATCAGTGCCTCCTCATCAGTGCCCATCAGTGCCACCTATCAGTGTCCATCAGTGCAGCCTATCAGTACCCATCAGTGCAGCCTCATTAGTGCACATCAGTGAAGGAGAAAAATCACTTATTTACAAAAGTTTATAACAAAAACTAAGAAAAAACATTTTTTTTCAAAATTTTCAGTGGTTTTTGGTTTGTTTAAGAAAAAATAAAAAACCCAGAGGTGATTAAATATCACCAAAAGAAAGCTCTATCTGTCACAAAAAAATTATAAAATTTCATATGGGTACAGTGTTGCATGACCGCGCAATGGTCATTCAAAGTGTGACAGCACTGAAAGCTGGAAATTGGCCTGGGCAGGAAGGGGGTATAAGTGTCCTGTAGGCTAACGGTTAAACAGCGGCACAAAAAAGCTATTATCAGCGTTCTTCATCCAGCTTTTTTTTTCAAGCGTTTTTTGAGCTTATAATTAACGCTAGTGTGCATGGAGCCTTAAAGTGTTTGGGACTGACTTCATATTATGTGGTTTTGGTAAATCTAAAAGAAAATTGTATAATGGGCAGCCTTAAAGTATTACTAAAGTCTTCATTTTTTAAAAATTAAAATAACAAACATGTTATACTCACCTGCTCTGTGCAATGGTATTGCATAGAGCGGCCCCAATCCTCCTCTTCTGGTGATCTTGGCTCCTCCTCCTCCTCTTTGTGTGTCCCCATTGCAAGACATTTGCTACGGAGGCGCACGGTGCATGCTGTCTCACAACCTGTGTTTCTATGGAGCCACACTCCGTAGACACACACAGCCCCACCTCCCACTTCTTTTTCACTGCATTTGATTGACAGCAGCAAGAGCCAATGGCTCCTGCTGCTGCTGCTGTTCGAGTGCATTAAGGTAAAAAGCGTTTTTAGGTTTAGTATCACTGTTATAGGCATCAAATAAATTAGTGTGGCATGGCAATCCATTCGTTTGCTGCACGATACAGGAACACTGTGTCAATACACATCTATCTCTTCCCACTGCCTGCCCCTCCTCATTCCAGTATTTATATTGCTGTGGTATTGGTGTACATTTTAGAACAATTTTAATAGAGGAATTTTAGGTCTGAGTATTTTTACCTAGCTATATTGCCCCAATGTAACTATGCATACACCGTACATCCCATATGGAAGAAAAATATATTTGAAATATATTTTAAAAATATTTTTCCCAAATATATTGACATATATTTGAAATACTACAATTTTTTAAATACTACAATATACTGCATGTTGAAATGCATTTTTATTACAAAATATATAAAAAATATTTTTTAAAATACATTTCAAATATACTGTATGTCTTTAAAAATACAAATCTACATTTTTGGAATGCATTTACAAATATATGTAAAAATATATGTTAAAATGACTTCTTCAGATTTTTTTAACATAAAAAAGTAATTTTAACATATATTTTTACATATATTTGTAAATGCATTCCAAAAATGTAGTTGTATTTTTAAAGACAGTATATTTGAAATGTACTTTTAAAAATATTTGTCATATATTTTGTAATAAAAAACGCATTTCAACATGCAGTATATATATGAATTTATTGAACTATATTTTGAAATATATTGAATATGGCCAAAATTGTAGCATTTCAAATATATGTCAATATATTTGGGAAGAATATTTTTTAAATATATTTCAAATATATTTTTCTTCCATGTGGGATCCCTCTAGAACAGCTTCTCTAAACCTTTGAACACAAAAGAACCCTTGAAATAATTTTCAGGTCTCAAGGAACCCCTGGTAATATTAGTCTATTGATGGTCATTGGGAAATTGTAACTTACATTGGTGGTGACAGGTGGGAAGAACGCCCCCCAGTTTTTCTGCTGCTGTACCCTCGTTAGGGAAATGCCTTCTCTCTATTTGTCCTGTATACTGTTATCCTCAATAGTGAAAGTAAAAGAAAATCCCAAATTTTGAGTTGGCACCAGAAAGGCTACATTCACACTGGCGATTAGAGCTGGTGCAAAATCTTCTGATTCCTGCCGCAGTTCACAGCGGCTCTCAGCAGGTCGGTGCGGCTGCCGGCCCCACTTAAAATAATGAAAGGCTGGCTGTGCAAGGAGTTGCAAACAGATGCTGCTGCCAGCGACTACATGCGGGGATGCGTCCAGCAGTGACCTCCACAGGTGTGCAAACAGCAGCAAATAGCGACCTGTCATTATTGTTAATGGGGCTGTCGGCCTCATCTACCTCCTGAGGGCCGCAGCAGGAATCTCTGATTCCTGCAGCTACTATTCGCACCAGCTCTAACCGCCAGTGTGCGGGGAAATCTTCCAATGTGGACACTAGATCAGGTGGCACTGACATTTTACAGCTGTATTATGGCCATGGGAATGAGGCCTTAAAGCATTATTAACCACTTGCCTACCGGGCACTTATACCCCCTTCGTGCCCAGGCCAAATTTCAACTTTCAGTGCTGTTATACTTTGAATGACAATTGTGCGGTCATGCAACACTGTACCCATATGACATTTTTATCATTTTGTTTTCACACAAATAGAGATTTATTTTGGTAGTATTTAATCACCACTGGGGTTTTTATTTTTTGCACTATAAACAAAAAAAGAGCAAAACATTTGGAAATATAAAAGTTTTTCTTTGTTTCTACTATAAAATTTTGCAAACAGGTAATTTTTCTCCTTCACTGATGTGTGTTGATGAGGCTTCACTGATAGGCAGCACTGATGGGCACTGATGAGGTGGCACAGATGGGCAGCACTGATGGGCACTGATAGACTGATAGGCTGCACTGATGAGGTGACACTGGTGGGCATTGATGAGGAGGCACAGATGATGCTGCACTGATATGCAGAAATGATGGGCACTGATAAGCAGCACTGATTGGCGGTACTGCTGGGCACTGATGGGTGCAATTTCTGGGTGGTACTGCTGGGTAGCACTAATGGGTAGCACTGGTGGGCACTGATCATCAGTGCATATCTGCTTTGTTACATTTGCCGGTTATAAGCAGTATATGTGACAGCGTGAGGAAAGTTCTGCCGTTAACCGGCAACTGTATTTACTTTGTGATCTGCTGTGTCATTGGACACAGCTGACCACCTGATAAAAGGCCGCTGTGATTGGCCTTTTACCTAGTCATGTGATCAGCTGTGTCCTTAGGACACAGCGATCTTTGACAGTGCCGGGTGCGCGTTCTGGGAGGACGTCATATGACGCCCTCCCAGAACTGGACAACCTCGCTGCAGCCGTCTTTCGGCTATAGCGCGGTTGTAAAGTGATTAAACCCAAAAGCAAACATTTATTAAATTGCAGCTTACCGATTCTTAGATGTGATGACTGCATTAGTTTTCTTTTTTTGGCTTTCTTACAAACTCTCTTGCAGATGTATTAACTTACAGGGATGAGACAAACCATTTATCACTGACAGATGCTTACAATGGTCAGCTTTTATTTATTTATATAAAACCTTTATCCCAAAAGGAAAACACTGAAACGCTGTAACTGATTATAAAGTATTAGCTGGAGTTAAATGTCAATTTGTTAGTGCATCTAAATCTGCTAGTACATCTAACACTCCCCACCAGATTAACAATGCTACTGTCCAAAGGTGCCCCTGTGCTCCTTCATCCAGAGTGTGTGCACTCTAATACAGGAGGCGTGTTACTGGCCAGATCACCAGGTGAAAACTGAGGGAAAAAGCTTAAAAAAAAAAGAAAACTAAAGCAGCAACCACATCAAATGATTAGTAAGCTGCAATATATAACATTTTTGGTTTTGGGTTTAATAGTGCGTTATGACACAATGGAGGTTATTTACTAAAACTGGGGAGAGTAAAATCTGGTGCAGATCTGCATAGAAACTAACCAGCTTCCAGGTTTTATTCCAAAGCTTAAAGTTCACCTCTTCCGGCATAAATTCACGTTTCATAATAAATAGAATTCTCTTGTAATATCATTTTTTTAAAAATATTTCTGCTTGCATCACTTCCTGTAGTCATTTCCCATCATTCACTGTGTTGTTGCATCACAGAAAAGGGTTTGATAGGGCGTGTATTACCACTCTGGACCACACCTCTCATTACTATACCACCTTCCACCCGTTTTCTGTACAATCTGATTGTACAGTCTCCTTTAGATGGTAGGGGTGAGCATTGACTGGGATGTTAAAGTCGCAGAGGATGATGGCAGGCACCTCAGAGGAGAGAAAGTACGGTAGCCATGCTGAAAAGTCATTGAGAAAGCGTGAAACTGGGCCCGGGGGCCAGTAGATGACTGCGATCCTCAGACAAATGGGAGAAAAGAGACGAATACAGTGCAGTTCGAAAGAGCGAGGGGACAGAGAGGGGCAGGAAGAAACTGGAACATGCATTGTGGGGAAAGAAGAAGCCTGACTCCACCCCCTTTTCATCCACTGGGTCTGGCCGAGTGAGTCCAGAGGAGGCCACCATGGGAGAGTGCAGCTGAGGAGACAGAGTCAGAATCCTGGAGCCAGGTTTCAGAAATCGCAAGAAGGTTGAGGGAGTGGGAGAGGAAGAGGTCGTTGATAGTAGAGAGTTTGTTAGAGGCTGAGCGGGCATTCCAGAGGGCACATAGGAGGGAGGGGTTGGTGCGTGGAAGCAGAGGAATTGAGATGAGAGAGTGAGGGTTGCGGCTGCGGCCAGAGAGGGGATGGTAGATATAAAGGAAATTGTACAATCAGATTGCATAGTGTATGGTGAGCTTTACAGAACCCAGGACACACTTCTGCTGGTTTCAGTACTACAGCTCTATCCACCTCCTAGACAGTTATCTGATCGCTCAGCTTCTGCACACTCTGCCAAATGAACAATCTATGGCTGTGTATTTAGTGAGAATGGTATTCACTGACTGCAGGAAGTAATGAAAAAGTAATAGAGTTTTTTATACAGCCAACTGAACATTGAGGTAAATGCTGTGTAGGATATATAGAAAGCTTTTTTTTATTTCTGCATAAGAATTTATTTAATGGTATATTGGGGAACTGGAATTTAGAGCAAAAAGTGACCTTAGCCTTTAATTGAACAAGCTGAAGTTAGAAGCCGATTGGCTACCATGCACAGCTGCACCAGATTCTGAGTGCTCCAGTTTTAATAAATCTCCACCCA